TGTTAGGGTTTCAGTCTAAAACCTAATCCAGTTGCTTAGGCCTTAAGTAGTGCACAAGATCCTTCCAGAAGGCCCCTATGGTCTATTTCTATGTGGGCTCCCTCATAGAATGCGTCCATCCCTTCTTTAGGGATCCTTAGCCCAACTCTGTAACTATCTTATAATTACAGTATCAATCCCCTTAATTTAATTAATCTCTTTTGACCATAAAATTAATTCTAAATTAATTCTTGACCAATATTAATTAAATAATATGATTTCTCATTTAGTATATTATTCCTATAATATATTAATAAATAATAATCAACCTCTTTCTCTATAATTCATCCAGTCAAGTTGTTATGGTGAAGGCAACCTCAAAGGACCATGCTACTATCGAGTCAAGTAGATAGCAAATACATTTATGGGATTAGACACCTAATCCAACATAAATAATATCAAAATTTGAATAGCCAGTTAGGAGATGAGTGTAGTGAAATCGACAACGATTCGATGTGGGCAGTCTGTTAGGGAGACAGACCCTCTCGAGACTTTAGATGTTAGATGGAGCAGATGTGATATGGTTGCATGGAATTCGTTCATTTTGGGTTCTAGAACCCTACAGGGGTTGGTTTTGGTTGCCCAAGGAAGGCTAGGGTGGGCTCGGGATTATGGCCATATCATTCAAGTCGCCTGGTGCGTAAGGAATGGTAATGAATGATTTCGAGAACGAAATCTAATTTAAGTGGGGGAGATTTGTAACACCCTGTTCCAAATCACTTTCATAATTTGAGACTGTGGCATGAGGATAGATTATCATACGGTTTGGGACCCTCAGAAGAGAGAGAGATATCTAAACCCATTTACGTATAGATAATGTAAATGAGGTGATCCGGTAGTTGGGTCGTGTCTTGAAGCCAAAGGGGTATATCGGTAAAGTGATAGTTCGATCCCTTTATGAGTTTTATTCGGAAGGTTGTAAGGCATAGGCATGTTGTTCGGGGCGTAGGGCTTCTCGCCACCTTTTTGTAGTTATAAGGTTCAACAGAAATAGACCTAGAATTAGGGAGTTATGATAGTTTGAAGACTTTGGTAGTTTTGGTCTGTGGATGGGAAAAGCTTGTATTTCGGCATACATGCAAAGGTGACAAACAATGAGTACGCCTAGCGTAGTGTTGGATAAGTGAAATGCGGATGCAAAGATGTACGCGCAGTGTACGCCTAGGATTTCCAAAACCCTAATTTTTAGGGTTAGCTCACTATTTAAAGCACCTTAACTCCAAGGTAGTGTGCCTCTCTTTCATTTTCAGAGCCTTAAACCCTAAATCCGAGTGGTAGCTTCATCCAAGAGTCTTATGAGCTTTGTGGGTGCATTTTGGATGGTTTTTGGTGCATTTCAAGAAATGGAAGCTCGATTTAAGGTGGTGGTTTAAGGGAGGGCTTGTAGATCGGGACTCCTTGCTACATTTTCAGGCCAAAGAAGGTAAAAGGTGTTGAGCTTGATCTAGTGGGTAGGAAACACTTCAGGAGCTTTGAGTTGCTACTCTTAGCATTTCATAGGTTATAAGCCCATAAAGTTGCAGTCTTTGAGGCTAGAAACCTTTCATGCATGTCCTAGATTAGTATTATTGGGTTATGTAGGTCATTAAGACCCTTTGAATCATGAAAATGCATAAAGGTGCCAACTTTGTGCATTAAGAGCTTCATTTGGTGGTTCTCTGAAGTTTAGACACAAAGCTCTTAACTGATTAAGTCACAACAGTAGTTTGGAAATTCTGCGAGTATGCCCCACGTAAGTTGATGTACACCCCACGTATAGAGTTAACCATCTTATAGATGGTTAATGTGATGTGAGGTTACGCCCAGCGTACAATAGGGGTACGCCTCGCGTACGCCTCTATTTGGGATTTCGGACATTGGGATTATAGTTTGGGCCATCTATTTGGGCCTAGATTCCTGGACCCTAATGGACTAGCTGGTTGGTTGTGTTCTGGGCTAATTGAAGGATTGGATCATAGGATGAGGCCCAATAAGGAGTTTGAGCCCAATTGTGAAAATTAGCCCATTAATAGGCTTGTAAGTGCATGGATTCTTTTGGTCTAGCTATGGACAGGTATAATGATTTAGAAAATAATAAAATAGGATTTAATAAAGGCCTATGTAAGGGTTTGGGTCCAATTTGAAAAATTTGGGCCATTAGTGGGCCTTCATGGATTTTGGAGGTTTGGAATTAATTGGTTTTGGACTTGGGCCTTAGTTAAGTATCTTTTGGTCCAGGGGTAAAATGGTTATTTTACCCAAGTATGGATTATGGATCATGGTATAGAACCCAATTGCTAAGTGGGTGATATTTTGGTATTGATAGCCCAGGAAGTGGACAGGGCAACAGCTAAGGAATTCTTTCAGGAAGCTTCTACATTCGAGGTGAGTCGCCTCACCATACCAATGGTTCTAAGGCACTAAGGTAGGCCCATTTAGTTAGTTGTAGTGTTTACTCTAGATTCACTACTGATATGTCTGGTATGCTTATATATATGAGAATGTGCTAGTACTTATTGACTAGATATGAGAAGACCCCAGGGGGGAGCCTGTGGCAGTTAGATATAAGACCATGGTGGGGAGCCAATGACACATAGGAGTAAGACCCTTGAGGGATTCAATGACATCCTTATATGTTTATGTATGAGTTATGTAGTATGATAGATATTTTTGTGATATATGATATGCTAGTTGACTATTTTGTTTTATTTGCATGGAAGACCCCGAGGGAAGCCTGTGGCAAGCGGATATGAGACCATGTGGGGGAACCCATTGCATTCCTAGGTAAAGACCATGTGGGGGAGCCCATATCTAGTATCTAAGACCATGTTGGGGAGCCAATGGCACATAGGAGTAAGAACCAGGGGGAGCCCACGAGATCCTTATATGTTTATATGCTTGGCTTGCGTATGTTATTCGATTATTTGACATGTGGTACGATAGTTGTTTATGAAAGTATGTGATACGCTACTTGTCCTTGTGCTACTTGCATGAAAAACCCCGGGGGGGAGCCCGTAGCTGTTGGATATCAGACCATGTGGGGGAGCCCATGGCAATCCTTATATGTTTATATGCATGGCTTATGTGATTGATATGGTTTTTGTAGCTATTATAGCTAATGTGGATTATGTGGTTATCACTACAACAAAATGAAGCTAATGCAACCCCGCCAAAAGGTTGCATTAGGCCTTGAAAAAGTTGCATAATGCCTAAAGCAACCTTTTATCAAAGGTTGTATTAGGTAAAGTTGCATTAGACTTATAGTAACTTTTTTCTTGGAAAATACAACCATTTCTTAAATAGTTACAGATCCTTTTTAGATGCAACCTTTTTTTTTTTATGAAACTTTTGATGTGCAAAAGCAACTTTTTTATGCTCATATGCAACTTTTTTACACTTAGATGCAACTTTTTAGCTATTTTAATGACAAAAATGCAACATTTTATATAATCAAATGCAACCTTTATTATGTTTCTAGTAAAGAATTGCAGCCTTTCTCTATGGTATATGCAAACTTTGTTACGACTGTAATTACAAAAAATGCAACCATATTTTCAGTTAAATGCAACTTTATTTTTATGACTTTTCAAACGTTAATACAACATCTTTTTTTCTAGTCGTACAGTCATTACATATCTTTTACTACATTGCTACAAATATTCAATGCTACTAAAATTACACCGTAAAAATAATAACATAAATATATTATATAATTTTATAGTATCCTTTTACATGTCTAAATTTAAAATAACAACCATAAATCAAAGTCAACAAAGTTGTCAACTATAATCACAAAAAAGTATTAAAAATGTCATAAACATGTACTAAACATAGACAATAAATCATATCAGCAACTATCAACCTTCTGGAGGTTGTTGTACCACAATCTTCCGCATCAAGGCTTAAAAGTTTTCTCGTTGGTTGATAATATCTATTCGGATAGCTGCTAATTCGCCCTGATTTTTTCATGGTCCTCTTGAATCTTTTTTTCAACTTCATTTTCTTTGAATGGTTCCATAAGTCTCGACGATATCCATAATTCTCTTTGTTCATCAAAGTCATATAAGGATCTACGGTATCACTTGTATCTTGTAGAGGTTTGTAGTTCTTCATTTTCTCCTTCAAGATTATTCTAAAATGAATAGGATAATATTGCTAAAACATCTAATGCTAAAACGTTGTTTATATTGTAAAAAACAATGCATTTCAATGTAGAAAGAACATTTTTTTTTTATTTTGTGAAAAACAACCACTTGATGTCGAAAAAAGCATCATCAAAAGAATATTTTTAATGTAAAAAACTACATTTTAACGTCTAAAAAATTGCATAATATCTAAAAAATTGCATTTTAACATTTAAAATATTGCATTTTAACATATAAAAAACAACATTTTAAAATCTAAAAAATAGCAATTTAACATCTAAAAATGTTGTTTACTATCAAAAGGAAAAACTTATTGTGAAGTTGAAATACAAGCTTACAATTTTCTTTGTCGTGTCAGCATATGTATCAACATATACACTCCCATATCTCCTTTTACCTGTACGTTCAAACATTTCACTTAGAGTGGAGAATTACTTGTCTGGATCTTTATTTTTCTGTATTCATGGTAATATAGCCATCAACAAGAAAGTATCAAAGTTTGGGAAAAACACAAATCACGAGCAAAATGAAGACATTACCATCTCCCCACGAATTCTAGCAAAACTTTTTGAACTAGCTGTGTGCGTAATTTTTAAAGACTTGTGAACAATGTTTCTATAATTATAGATAACAATCACCACTTATGTAAAAGAAATTTAAACACAAGGACTATTATCTTTATTCTGTCTAGTACATGGACCTTTTCAACTAACAATGTTTCCATAATCGGAGATTGTTTCGGGTGCGGGTTTTCTCTTCTCTTTGGTTTCTGTTTCATCACAATCCTTCGTTATCAACTTGTGATTCAAAGATGCATTGTTTGGAAGTTTTGGAAGCATGTTCGGCTTGAAGAATTATAATCCCCCTAATCCATATCGTCATAGGTTGTATGAGGAAGAGCTTGATGTTGAGCCCGGTGCAGTTCGAATAGGCAGGAAGGTTATTTACAAGGATTACTCTCCTTACTCTGGGGACAAACCTCCACGTCTAAAGGAGAAAATTAAGAATAAGATCAATCGAAATTTAGTTGAGAAGCAATTGTCAGGATTCAAAGGATGTTATTGGAGGAACGAAGCAGGTGTTACGTGTTGGTATTCGTGATGTAATAAAAGCTAGATATGGCTGTGAAAATGTTGATCCGAGAATAATCAATTCGGAACTAGAATCATATGATAAAGTGTTTGCTGATGGGAAGAAATTGGAAGAGCAGGAGAAGATTCAAAACCAGGAATATTGGAATGTGTGGGTTGAATTGTTTAATGTGCCTCTGGAATACTGGAATAGCAAGGGAATTACTTTGATTGCTAATGAAATTGGGAAACCGATGGCTATGGACAATGTTACTCAAAAAATGTGCAATGAGCATTAGGGTAGACCTGCTTTTATGCGATTTTTGGTTGAAATGTCAGCTGAAACTGAGTGGTTAAAGGAGATAAATGTTGTTTCATTTGAGTTTGGAACTGGTGAAACGTTGAATCCAAGTGCAGGGTTGAATATGCTTGGAGACCAGATATTTGTACTCATTACAAAGTGTATGGACATAAGAATAGCAACTGTGGTTTACTCAAAACTAGCCCAGGTATCCATCTTTGAATAAACAATGGAACATTGTTTATAAGCCAAGGTCCCCACTCAATCACATTCATCATACCTTATTTAGAATCAAACTTACAGAAAAAGAAGCCTTCATCATTAACCATAACATCCTTCAATCCAAATACTTTCCACATCTTGAAATATAAATAATTCACAGTTGGGAATGCAAGCTTTTTTCCCACAAAAAAACCATAACGAGTAACATGATAAGGAGCTCCTCCAAACATTAAATCCGCATAAGGAAGTTTAACTTTGCCAATTTGCTTTCCTTCACCCTTAGGAATCACCTTAATATTCAAATCAAACACAGTGCTTGAAGATTCAACCATTCTAGCATAACACTTATTATTGAAAACACTAACCATTTTTGCCGCTGTAGATATTTTCGGCATAGAAAAAATGTCCATGTTCATCAGTTCTGCATCCCATTTGAGATCTAGGAAACTGCCTACGTGATTGTTCTTCAAATCAACTCCAATATCATTACTCACTTTCTCATCTTCATTCAAATTCTCCTTCATGATCTCATCATTAATTTTATTAGATTGGTTCACCATTTTAACATTATCAGGGATCGCATTAGGAATTGTTTGATTAGCAACAGGATCTTTACCCAAAATACCCTTAATAGGATTCACGTCTTCCCCAGGAGAAGATGCCGAGATTAGAGAACTACTAACCTTATCAATAGATGAATTAAAGCCTTCAAGCATATCCGATGTAAATGAAAGCGTCACAAATCCTTTTTCCTCCACCGATTCAACGATTGTTTTAGCATTCTCCTGGTTTTGAATCTTCTCCTTCTCTTCCAATTTCTTCCCATCAACAAACACTTTATCATATGCTTCTAGTTCCAAATTGATTATGTTTGGATCAACATTTTCACTGCCATATCCAGATTTTATTACATCACGAATGCCAACACGTAACATCTTCTTCGTTCCTTCAATGACATCCTTTGAATCCAACAATTACTTCTCAGCTAAATTCCGAATGATCTTATTCTTTATTTTCTCCTTTAGACGTGGAGGTTTGTCCCCAAAGTAAGGAGAGTAATCCTTGTAAACAACTTTCCTGCCTCTTCGAACTGCACCAGGCTCAACATCAAGCTCTTCCTCATACAACCTATGACGATCTGGATCAGGGGGATCAAAATTCTTCAAGCCGAACATGCTTCCAAAATTTCCAAACATTGCACCCTCGAATCACAAGCTGAGAATGAAGGATTATGATGAAACAGCGACCAAAGTGAAGAGAAAACTCACACCGGAAACAAAATTTCCTAACATTACACCTTCGAATCACATCTTCTGGTAATGTCTAAACTTCATGGTTTTCTTCAGAACAAAAACAATACAATAAGAGAATCAAAGTAATCAAGAAGATCATCCAAACAACTAAAATCAAGATAAAGAGGAAGATCGAAGACATTACCAGAAGATGTAGGAGGCACAAAAGTCAGATTTGAAGGCGTTGTGGCACAGTAGTCGGAGCCTGAGGCATTGTGTTGCAACAGTTGGAGGAGGAGATGACGGCAAGGACGGAGATGATAGAGAGGAATTAAGCTTTAGCAGATATGAATGGAGGTGTGTGTGTGTGTACGTGTGTGCACACACCGTCGATGAAAAGAAAGGAAGTGGAAGTCGGCGATGAGAAGAAAATAATGAATGTGTATTAGGGTCTAAGGAAGTAACATAAAGAAATGTCAAATGTGAAAAGTTATAATTTCATTTAATAATTGCTTTTGAAGTTTATTATATAAAGAGGGAATTAAAATTTTCTAATTTATTCGGAGGGAAATTTTAAAAAAATATAGCTGGTGGGAATTAGGATTAAGAATGTAACTTTTGTAATAAAAGTTACAATTTTTAATAAAATTTGCAACTTTTAAAAAAAAAAGTTGCAATTTTCAATAAAATTTGTAACCTTTTTAAAAAAAGTTGCAATTTTCAATAAAATTTAAAACCTTTTAGAAACAAAGTTGCAATATTTGATAAATTGGCAACTTTTTTAAATAAAGTTGCATTAAATCTTTTAGTGCAACCTTTTTGTTCGGTGAGACTTTTATTATATTCAACTGCAATTGTTGTGAAAGGGTTGCATCTAAAAGGTTGCATTAGACTCATTTTGTAGTAGTGTATGTGGATTGTGTGGGTATGCTCTGGGGAACTCACTAAGCTTCGTGCTTATAGTTTTGTTTATGGTTTTAGGTATCATTGTTTTGGAAAGGAATGGCTCATCTTGTTAGCAGCACACACACACCCATGTTTTCCGCAATGAATGATTTTGGGATGAACTCTGATAAATGTTTTGATTAACAATGTTTTGGAATGTTTGGATAAATGATATCTATGGTTGGGTTATATTAAAAATAAAATTTTTACCCTTGATTTTTGGGTCGTTACAAATAGCCACAGTTGTTCTTTTTTGTGTAATATTTATTGCAATAAGTGGATTCTAATTTTTATCTTGTTATTCTTATTTTTCTATTTAAAATATATAGTCACAACATGTCCAACATTGCAAAGAATGAATTCCCTTCTCTTGAAGTCAGTGGTAAAAACTACATGCCATGGACCATGGACGTAAAAGTGCATCTTGAGTCAATGGGCATTTTAGACAAAGTAGTGGAAGGAAAAAAAATATTGTCAAGAAAAAGAAAAGGTAATCATTTTTTTTGTACACACATGGATGAAATGTTAAGATATGAATACCTCAATACCATTGAGCCAAACATTTTTTTGGAATAACTTAAAAGAAATATTTGACCATCAAAAAGAAGTTATGCTTCCAAATGCTAAGGCTGAGTGGATGTCATCGAGGTTTCAATACTTCAAGAAACTAAATGACTATAATTCCACCTTGTTTAGAATATGTTCACCACTCGAGTTTTATGGGGAAGAGGTTTCTGATGTTGTAATGTTAGAGAAAACTCTCTCCAATTTCATGCATCAAATATGACTTTACAACAAAAATATCAATTACAAAAGTTCAAAAAAAAATTTGAACTTAATATGTTTCTCCTTGTTTTTGAACAAAAAAAAATGAGTTATTGATAAAGAAAATCATGAGTCCCTCCCAACAATTTTAGTAGAACTTCCTGAAGTAAATGCTATTAATACTCATGAAACTAGAAATAATATGCATAGGCTTGGACATGGTCACAGGCAAGGACAAGGTCGTGACCGTGGATGTGCTCATAGTCATTTTAGCCAAAACAATAATCTTGGACGTGATAATACTCATGGTGGTAGATGTGGACGTGGTCGTCCTTATAAGTTATAATCATGGTTGTGGTCAAAGAAATAACAATTACCATGCTCCACATGGTAATAATGTACAACTAAGAAATAAGGGACATGATGCCAAAACATTAAATAACCCTGAGGTTCATGTTATAAATGCGGTAGCACATCTCATTGGCCAATACCTTGTCGCACACCTGCACATATTTTTCAACTTTATCAAGAATCCATAAAAGAAAAGGGAAAAGAAGCAAACCTCGTTGATAATGTTGAATTCACTAAGTTAAATACTGATGATTTTCATAATGACATGGAGGACACATGCCAAATTTTTATTATATTTTCTTATAAACTTTTTTTTCCTCCCTTTGTTTTTCATATAATGTATTTTCTACAATAAATGAACTTTCTTTGTAATAATAATTATGATTATATTTATAATATCATTATTTCTTTTATATGTGAAGTTCGATATGAGTTTAACTAAAGCACAACGCCAAGGAAATGCTATTGATCTTTGTACAATATATAGTAGTACCATACGCACTATCCTAAAATCAAAGAAATACTTTACAAAATAAGTACCAACAAAAGCAGTCATACATATAGTATCATGTCCTGCAGACTTAGTAGAGGGAGCTTGTAACATCCAAAAATCACAATAAATTTTAAGCTTTCAAAAAAAAAACCCATTTCTTCCATAAAGTGTTTACAACACCAATGTTTCAAAAGTATAATTCAATATCAAAGTATCCTAAGATCCAATGTCATAAAAACAGGAAGATTTGCACAATCATGCCTTTGCTTTCCCACGATCATCTGAAGTACCTGAAACAATAAACTGAAACCATTAGCACAAATCCTACTGAGTTCCCACCAAAGTACCACCACACGACATAACAACGATAGCATGCATACATGAGCCCTCAGCATGACTGGACTGCCTCGTAGGCCTATAGATTATATAGACCGCTCTTAGAGCCTTCAACATGATTGGATTGCTGCACAGGGCCTACAACCTATCCGGACCGCTCTTCGAGCCTTTAGCCTGAATGGACCACCTCGTAGGCCTTCAGTCTATCAAAATTGCCCTATGTATCTTATCCTACACTCTCATCTATTCTGCATCAACCCAGTAAACCATCACATATCAACATACACCATAACAATCAATACCTAGTAGATACAGGTATTTATACATATCTAACAGATCACTACATCAAGCAACATCCTATATACCAAGATACATATCTAACAGATCACTATAGCATAGCAACATCCTATATACTAGGATACATATCTAACAGATCAATACATATCTAACAGATCAATACATATCTAATAGATCACTACAATATAACTAATGGGTTTTATACAAAAGAAACATCTTATGTGCTCATGCAAACCCTAAAGTTTGGATCTAGGTTACTCTATTGTACATGCAATTCATCCAAGACTTAAGAATAATAGATCAAGCATACATATTTCAAGATTAACATATAAGAATAGATCTACATGATTACATCTTCAAGAATGGCTTCAATCTTTTCTAGAATGCTTGAATCTTCTTTCCTTGGAGCTTAGAGTCACAAATGTCACTATTCTAATGGCTTACAAACACCACAAGCAAGAGGATGATATTGGAAAGAGGGGATGAGAACCAAAAACGTCCAAGATATGCTAGAGAACACTTAGCCATGTTTTGGGAGCCCTAAGGGTCTATTTATACCTGTGTGCGCTACTAGGGTTTCAGGAGAAACCCTAATTCTCTGCTTAGGCCTTAAGAAACCCATGGAATCTTTCTAGAAGGCCCTTGAACGAAAATCATATGGACTTCCCATATATTTCATCCAATCCCCTTCAGAAAAGGAATCCATAGTCCACAATGCAATTATCTTATAATTACAATATCGTTCCCCCAAGTTTAATTAATCTGTTTTAGCCACGTAATTAATTTCTTAATTAATTCTTGTCTAATATTAGTTAAACTATATGATTTCTATTTTAATATACTATTCTCATAATATATTAAGACATCATAATAACCTTTTTCTTCATAAATCATCATATCTAGTTGCTTTGGGGATGGCAACCCAAAAGGACCATGCACGACCGGGTCAAATACTTACCAAATATAGTTACATGCTTAGATATTAATCCAACAGTCCCACTTGGATAAGTCTAGTAACTATAAATGCAAGTATTATCCGACTAGCAATCGTAGCTCTCAAAGACGCTACCGAACTCTGATATTATCAGCAACATGTCCTTTAGATAAAGGATCATATATTCCTCCATTCTAGATATCATATAGACATCAGACATGGATTATAATCATTCTCTCAGTCTATGTGTTGTTTCTCGATTTCTGATTTATGATGACTGAAAACAGACTACAATTGAACACATCAACTCAGTCCCGTCTTGGCAAACGCTTAGGATGTCATCACTAAATCATTCAGGAGCCCATAGATATCGCTTTTATCCCACTTTGGGTAAAAGGAACGGATAAACGTCGACTTGAATGCTCGCTTGTACCTAGTCATCAAATCACACACAACAATATGTTTTATATGCGTTTACATACTATCAATGTGAAACTAACTTGTAGAATACAATTCACACATCTTGGTTTCAAGAATATAAGATATTATCGTCTCACCAATCACTCGTGATAAAAATACATGATGCGACCCAAGTGAGTGCGGGTTTAATCCAATACTCTAATCTTATAACAGCACTCATGAACTTTGCAGCAAGCTTGTGCTATGTCTAAACACTTTAGACAATCTACAAACGGATTCATGACAGTCTTCATTCTTACCTACTTCCAAAGTATGAGCGACTGTGGAGGGTTTAATTAATCTTATTATTCGGGAAGTCAAAACATGCAAAGTGAAACACAAAAATAATGCTAATCATATATG